CAGTGGCAAAACTCCACCGCTAAACTGCTTCCTTACAAAAACACACTTGGCCTATCTCCCTATCTGGACCTCAAACGATCACATCAAGTACCACTGACACGTCTGCGCCTTGGAGCAACTCGGCTCACCCATGCTCACTTTTTTACGGGACAACAGCCTGCTCACTGCCCCTCCTGTGACCAAAGATGGACTACTGCCCATCTACTACTGGAATGCCCTGTGCTGCAGCAGCCAAGACAGCCCCTGGACCAATACTGCAAAGAGATGAACTGGCCTTTCACACTGACAACCCTACTAAGAGATGATTTTCCAGCTGAGAAACTAGTTACCTTTCTGTCAAAGACAGACATCATCGACAAGCTCTAAGGAACAATACCACAAGCTCTGACCAAAGCACCAGATGCCCAAGAAGGCTGGTGCTAAAAATTCAACGAGAAATTCAACTTCGTCGGGTGGATGGGTGCGCAGCCGTAGACCAGCAAATTAACGCTCAAATCAGCCCTGGAGTCAACATCAACCATCTAAATGCTATAGATATTGTCATCCTGGCAGGCTGGCACCTAAGCAGCTGTAGTCAATTGACCTATCTCACCACACGAACTTTAAACCAACACTGCTTCAGCACACAAGCTGCTACTCTACATAGTTAACGGTCAATCGTCAATACGTTGTTCTCCAATGCTTTATAGCCCATACCATCACTTCTTACACATGATGTTATCCTAAGTGTCCGCTGACCACACTGCATTGTTGCAAATGTGAACTGTACCAAACGGTAATGCGTCATCACCTTACTTAATCCGCAAGAGTGACAAGACGTTAACCCCGCGTCACTGTTTCCCTGCCTTACTATCCCCCAGCATCTTCTTCCCCCCACACTTACCCCGACTCTCCACCATTATCGCATGACTAACTGGAGGCTTTTCTAGCAGACCTTTTATGCTTATCCAAATAAGGTTAGGTTAAGTTAGGTTAGTTTACAACTAATATAGATCATCTCTCCATAGCGTAATGCAGTCAAGTGAGCAGAAACTAAGAAAAGCCGTCCGCTGTCCGGCAGTCAGTGAAAAAAAGCGGGGAGACGGGGTATGCATGGAGGTAGAGTTATGCCGGGGGAAAACAGCTGCGATGAACGGACGGGCTGGAGTGCTGGCTGTGTATCAACAGCGGTATGGCGTAGGGAGTTGCTTACCGAAAATCGTGATTAGGTTAGACGGCATGGGATAGAGCTGTTGGACGGTTTTCAGTACGGCGTAGAGCGATTGTATTGGTAGCTTACTTCTCATTAGCTCGCTGGTTAATTTCCATAAAGGGGATTTGTACTATTGGCTTTTAACATATAATCCCTTAGTCTACTCTGACCTTTAGCAGGCTTACGCACGGAAAGGAGGATGAAAGATATGCTGGTCTTGGGCAATCCCGGCAATGCTGGCCTCTGGCATGCATCCCAGGTGGATAGCTAGAGGTCAGCATAGCTCAAGTCCACAGTGCGATTCATATACCTTCCCTAGCGGAACGCAGCCGGACATCTTCACGGCTTTCAACACATACATAGCGCCCACCAAAACAGCGCCGTTCAGTCACAGGCACTGCTTCACAGCTAAGGAGCACAACTGGCTGGAGCGCAACAGGGCCAGGCCCTACCGCAACTGCGCAACAGCTACCTACTCCTAACGTAACCTAACCTGCGCCGCCTGTTGCAGTAGGGTCTGTTGCGCTCCAGCCAGTTGTGCTCTGGCGCTGTGAAGCAGTGGCTGTGTTGTGCAAAGCAGATTTACTGTTAGCCGGATTTACCCACAGCTCATTCAGCCTCATTGATCTGAGCCTCTGAGGCTATCGGGCAGGCTACGTTCCTACCGTCCTACGTATAGATATTGCATGCTGATGGTTGGCGACTTGGCGTTGGGCCCAGGGCTGCAGGGCCTGTTTACGAGTTGATTTTTTTTACCCACAGCTGCTCTCCCACTTCGTCCCGGTCCACCTGTGAACTCTACAGACTCTACTGACTACCGCCGGTTTGGGGACATGTGACCTGTCCCCAAACCGGCAGTAGTCAGTAGTCACTACTTCACTCACTAGTCATTCATGGTTGAGTGGTCAGTTGTTAATGTTACGGTAGTAGCTAGTCTAGCTCTAGCCGCCGCCTGCGGTGCCTAGTGCCTAGTGCCTACCAGTAGTACCGTAGTGACTGATGGGAGCCAAGATTCGTAGGGTGATGACGCAATGTACCTAATCATCATGTATGAGACTGAGAGAACAGAAGATGAATAGACTGCAATTAGAGTTAGCTTTTCAAATTTCAGTTCATTAATCAGCATGAGTGACTGGTGATTGAAATTTGAAAGTGATAAGATATATGCTTGGAGAATGTGTGGATGTTGAGACTGAGAGTTAACAGTCCTGAGGCTGAAACTGGCGCTGTGCCAGGGCCATTTTGTTTTTGGAAAATAGAGCAGAACGCAGTAGCCACGACCCACCTGTCAGGCTGTCACCTGTAAAATGTGAATGAGATTATAAGAGTTTGAAACAAAAATGTCTGTGCTTGGTGCTTCCTGTTGTATTCACCCTTTTCATGAATCATGCCATTGCCTAATTTTTTTCTTCTAAAATAGTTTTAAGAAGAGTGACACATTTTGCCCATAATTTTCTTGAATTGCCTGTAAAATAGTACCTAGTTTTTGACCTTTGCCTTCTGCCTGCAAATTTTGGAAAATTTGTTAATATATAATTATTTGCATATGGTACAAAGTACAAACTACAAGCTAGTAAGGACAACATAATCTCTCTGAAACTGAACTAGATTTTTGAGCTGTGATTTTATGAATTTGCAAGCCATGATTCCATTTCCTTGATCTGTGAAAAGTGAATACCATATCCAGGCCATGAAAAGCCATTTATATGCTGCCAACTCATTGCAAAGTTCAGTGCACATGTCATCCTAATAATTAGAGCTGCAATATTTCAGAAAATATTGACATTTCCAAGCTAGGATACTAAGCTGAAGGCTAGATTTGAATTTTTTGTCAAAATCTTCTGGCTGACCGAAGTGACATTGTTTTAGCTTACTTCATTGTCTGCCAATTTGGAATAATGGGCAATGGGCAGATTTTTTCAAAAACTGCAGGTAGAAAAGATTATTTCTTTTATGATTTTTGAGAATCATTGGCAACTAATTTCGTTTTTCATACTTTCTATTGAAAAAGCCTTCAAGAAGGTAGGCAAGAGCCATAGGAATGGATTAAATTATCCATGAGCAAGGACATTTTTTGTCTCCTTGATGAGTGGTGTCTGACTTTCTGTGTAAATTATAATAAAGTAAATGTTCCTGAAATATGTAGAAAAGCACCTACCTATGTGTTAATTTTATTCTTACCTGCCTTAAATTCAGCTTTTGGTTTCCTTGCAGTGGCCTGCCCTGATCAAATATGGGATTGTGTACCATGTTGTATCGCTCCTCATTCCAGTTAATTTCCCGAAATTTGCATACTGGAATATGTTGCTCTGGAAGAAAGTCCAGGAGAGGTAAGGTTTATGTAAGAAAAACTACTATAATGTTCTTTTAGAGATTATAAAGTACGGTATTCTACAATGTATATATTGCAATAAAATATAAATACAATGGCCAGATGGAAAATTCTTGTACTTTATAGAGTGAACTTAAGAACATTTAGAATCATTTCATCCAGTGTAGGTACCAAACATTCATGACCTCAGAGAAAAGTTTTGGCTGAAAGTTAAATTTTTACAGTTTCATTATGCATCAGGCAACTTACCATTAAGAATGGTGTAGCAAGTGAGCTATTCAGTTCTAAATTATTTTCTTTAGCTGTGAAATTAAAAAATTTCTTGAACATTTTAAAGATTATTTATTTCTCTTTTATGTTTATAATTCACATTATGCATTATGAAAAACATAATTTCATGCTTCTGTTGAACCTTGTTTTCCTTCCAAACAATGGGAAAATTTTCCATTTGATTGATAATTTCCATTGTCTGCAGAGTTTGTCGAGTCCTTTCTGTGTTTTATTTAGATGTAATAAAACCATATAAATGGGCCATGTTATTTTGTATGTTTCTGATTACTTGTCCAGACATAGCAGCCACTCTGAATAACATGAAAATCATCCTCAATCTTTGTCAGGTCTCATAAATCCACAATGGACGCTAAAAGGAGATTAAATTCTTCACTAATTGCGTATATTAGCCTGAACTTTCAGAGCTTTGTGGCAGTGTATGCAATGTATGTAAGAATACAATGTTGATGATTAAACTCTATATGTTCAGATACTGGTTTGATGTGGTGCATTAACTTTCCAGGTCCTGCATACCAGGAAGGCAGAGTAGCTGTGTCTGACATGCATGAAGACCCCTTTACCGAAGAAGACTTGCTTAACCTGCGTAGACCTGAGATGATGCCCATAATTGACCCAAGTCTGGAGGAAGCTCAGCAGAGTATTTCACGCGTCACTAGGTGAGACTCTTAACATTAAATTATGCACCATTCAAGAATACTAACTCAATTCTACTTGAAAATTTTTATTCATGCAGAAAAAAATTTATATTTGTCAAAGTTTGTTTGTGTGATGAAGCCTGACTATATAAATACAGTGGGGGGAAATAAATATTCGTACACTTGAAAAATCGTATTTTAATGTATGTAAGTACACAAACTGAACAGGAGAAGTGATTTATTCCCCTCAGGGGGGACTTCTGACGTGTGTCTGTGCTCGTCAGAAGTCCTATGGGATCTCGCGCTCCTAGGGGGATTGTTCCTGAGCGCCCCACCGCTGAGCTCGCGGTGTCTGACTGCAGATCTCAGTTGTGGGGTTAAGTTATTATGTAGGTAGGATTCCTTACATTTCCCTTCTCTGTCTCTCTCGTGCGGGTGGCCGACGTCCCGTGTAAGCGACCTCTTGTTCGAGTGTCTTCGTTTCTGTTGCTTTTCACCTGTCCCTCCTTGTCACTTCGTCTCTTTGTGAGATGCTAACGCTGCTTCCTTCGAGCCAGCTTCAGCGGGCTGGACAATTGAGACCTTCCGCCCCTTGTGGGTGATGATTAACTTGAGATTTTGAATAATTGAGACCTTCCGCCTCTTTGGTGATGTTATATTTGACCTTCGGTGCGAAATAGCTTGATAGCTGAAGCGCTAGCAAACCATTATACTACTACTACTTCTCCTGTTCAGTTTGTGTACTTACATACATTAAAATACGATTTTTCAAGTGTACGAATATTTATTTCCCCCCACTGTATATGTGGAGGCTGTTTCTGCTATGGTACCACTATCTGTAGGGATATTGCCAGAACCTGAAGCTTCATTCTCAGTACAAGAATAGTACCTATTTGAATTGAGGAAATGGAAGAAAGGATTGGAGCAAAAATTGAAATTTGATTCTGCAATTGTTACGTACAGGCATATAAGCTTAATTTATGTGATTCAAAAACATTATCTCCATATTTTGAATCCAGAGTAGAAGAGGAGTATCTATATATAATAATATAATATGGGTTTGATTGATTCTTTATTAAATAGAAATCACAAGCCTTATTATCATTAACAAAATTTGGGTTTACAAAAATAACAGGAATGTGATTTTAAAATTTTGAAGAACTATCAAGCCTGGGCAATGCCAGGTCAACTTGCTAGTTTAGTTTATAAGAAAGTTGAAGGCTGTTAGATTATTTCTCTGGAAGACTACCGTAGTAGGTACCCTTCATTTCTGCCTTCATACTTGCATTTTATGTTTTAAAAACAAATCTACTCTTTTGTATGCAACAATTACCCTATGTACAATTATATTTTTCCATATTTGTGTGCAGAGAAACTGAAGCACAAAGACATTATCAGCTAACCAAGATGACAGAACGTAAATATTTAAGGAACATGTACAAAATCAAACCTGGAGAAAAATATTCTCTTAAGAAGCATATTAAATTTTCAGTTAAGAATAATGAAGATCAAAGCAACATTGTTATGCGCTCTAAGATTTTGGCCTGCAGCAAGGATCTGCTCAAACAACCGAAGGCTCCAGACATACTTTTGAAAAAGGACAAAATATCACCTCTTGTTAAAATGTTTGTTGATAGTGCTGGGTCAAATTCTTCTGCTCTAGAACTCAATGCCAAAGCTTTTAAACCTCATTATTCTAATGTAGCTAAGTTTAGTCACCCACTCACACCTAATGAAGCTTATCATAAACCACAATCTTCGGGACCTGAGGACCAAACTGTCAACCAAGCCTCCCAAAATCTCGGCTCTTTTACCAACCAGAAAACAGAAACTGCTGTAAATGACAGAGATTTTGCGGATGTTGAGGGCAGTTTGTTATTATGGTCAATGCGCGTGCAAATGAAACATCTTCATGAATCAGACCCTGATCATTGGGCTCCTCATATTCTTTCATACGTCTTCTGTATCTCGGAGCAACAGGTCAAGGTGAGTGACATGCTACTCTGCTCTCACTGTTTATATTTATCAGTTTTTCTCGGGAAAAAGTTGATGAATGATCTTCTGTACATATACTGGGTATCAAATCACTTCTTTTTTTTTAAAGCAAACAAATTCAAGTTCGTCTATTGCTCATATTACCTTCTTTTATCTCATACTAAACCTTGTCCGTGCATTAAATATTACCCTTTTGATTATTTTCATTCAAATCATATGAATGTTAGTGATTTCCGCCATTCTGGTCATCTCAATTTGAATCTCCGTTGTACTGGATGAGAAAGTTGCTTTATAGTCGTGTAATCGGGATCTGTGTGTAAGTCTTTGCCTACTTACTGTAGGTCTCGTTACATACTAAGTCTTTCACGAATAGCGTTGACAAGCCTAGAATCTATCAATATTCCTAGTGTTGGAATCATTTAATACCTACCTTTTGTTCTTGCCGGATAAAAACATGTTGTTCTCGTACAGGCGGTGCTGAAGTCGCGATGGTCGCCCAGAGACGCGGCGCATACCGCCGCGTACGACAGCCGCGTGCTGCGCAACTGGGAGCAACTCGCGAAGGGCGGCGGCAACCGCGTGTTCAGTATTGCCCTCCTCAAGAAAGCCATCAAGCAGAGGTGTGGTTTGTAATTTTTTGTATCCTCCGTTTATGCATTTTCCATTCAAAATAGATCCTATCTTCAAAACTTTGCCTTGTGAGTCTTATCACATTCAAATTCTTGTATCGACAATACAGTTCGAAACTAGAATGGCAATGCAGAAAAATTTTCGCATAGGTACCGTACATCCCACAAAATTTAATGAGAACGCAGGTTTGAGGATTACTTCAACCACTTCTTCTGAATTTTCAAAACATAACGACAGTATTGTTTGTCAGGCTGAAAGAAAGTACGAAAGGCGCGAGTGGATTGCCTGCCGTGTCTGAAGCTGCACCTGGTAATCTCGACCACTTGATTTTTGAGCACCCACCTGAAGCTCGTCTCCAAGGTATATCTATAATACCTACATGTAAATATTTTTGGCTGGGTTTCCTAGCCTACAATCAATCCTTTCCTCGTGGATTTTCCAGGATTTCCTCTTTTATTTCGTACTTATGGAGAAAACTATGCTCATCAAGTAGAAGAGCTTTAGTCTAAACCTTTTCTGTAGTCAAGTCATGTATTAGAATTATCTGGATTCAATTTGTTCGGGCATGTATCCGGGCATAACTTCTACCGGGCCGCGTTCTACCACTAAAATATCCAAAACATTTAAGGTAGTTTTCATCGAAATTTATCATGTTTTCAACAAATTAAAAAAATATGTAAATTACGAGCAGAGGAATTCGAAGAGGCCTCCTCTCTGCTGCTGAAGTGCAGACAGCTTGGCCTCACCTGTCTTGAGTCATTGAATCTTTAACTTATAAAAAAAACAGCTTCTTCCTGCACATTCATTAATATTTTTTCTGCCTCAAGTTTAGTACACCGTGTGGCATGACAGGGGAAGTGTCTATGAAGTGACACAGTGACAGGGAAAGTGTCATACACTCATGAAAGTGTATGCACTAGTGCCAGTTGAAACTGCGGAAGTTAGTTGCCTTCCCAAGTAATTAGTAACAAACACGTCGGCCTCACGCTATCTTATGCATATACAGATACTAAGCCCTTAGGCATATAGTTTTCCCTGGTAAAGATCAATAAGCTTGCTAGAAGGTTCTGATTTTATCCAAGAGTTCTTTGTTTCCAACGTTCTCATTACTTAATTACCCTACTATAATGGATATTTCACAAACTCCAAAGAGTTCTTTCTTTCACTCAGGCCTGTTAAAAGAACTAAATTGTTGCATTGTCAACAGCAGCGAACAACGAATAAGTTCATTGTCCTGGTGTGATCGTCCATGTTATGGTTATGTGCCGTCAACTCGGGTGACTTCGGCCACCACTACAACAGAAACAAATGGCAGCAAAACAAAATAATAAACGTTGGCTAATGTCACCCCAGTCACTTTGGCCAACGTTTATTATTTTGTTTCTGTTGTAGTGGTGGCCGAAGTCACCCCAGTTGACGGTACATACTACGTTAAAATCAAAAACAGATAACTCGAAATGCAATGGACAGCCAATCTAGTTATTTGAGGTCATCACTCGCTCGTGGTCTTGGTTGCTCATTGATGCTCATCACGCGAGCCTCGTTTTCAAGCACTTTTTGCTTCAGTTCTCGGCGCGATATCAAACTTTTATAAATGATAAACCGTTAACTATCTTGATAGTTTCAATTCACCGACTGATGAGGGTTTCATTCTCAGACTATTTTTTTCGGAATGGGTCTATAATATGAACGATTCTATTAACTACGTACTATTTTAAAGACCAACCGCTATTTAATGGTCACAACTAGTGAACCTAAAAGGATAATTTATTACTGTAAATGGTATAAAACTATTATGCGCGCAAATTTGCAATGTGAATTGCTTTTCTAAAATTTCAGAGTTAAGTGTAATCTAACAAACAGTTAAGTTCAACCTATGTTTTCCCCTCAGGTGTAAGCCCAAAATTCGGATCCTCCGCACAGCACAAGTCCGTGAGGGCCCGCGAGCAAATGGTCAACATTGTGCGCGACTACAAACACGATCTCCTGATGCTGCAAGCGCCCAACCAAACTGTGGTTAACGAAAGTGAAAATACTTCAATGCGAAATGATCGAAGATTTAAAAGTGATGAAATTCTCATCGATGCCTCGGCTGCCGAAAATTACGAATCCAGCAAACCAAAGTCGCCTGATGGACCTATGTTGAAAGTGCATTACAAGATGCGAAGAAAAGAAAGCCAAAAAAATAATAAATTGATTACCTTTGAAGAGTTTTTGACGAAAAAGAAAAAATATAATTGATTAATCAAACAAAGTGATTTGCTTTTTTTATGAACCCTATTGACAGAATAGAGAGACCGTGAGACGATCTCTTACGACAGGACATATGAATGAATTAAAAGCTGAACATTTATCTTTAAATTTCATTCTAAACTCCATAATTGACAAGAAGACGTCGATCCGTGGTGATGTGAAGTGATGGCACCCAATTTGAAGGATAGGTCTTAGTAGATCACTCATATGAAAGATTTGTTTTGAGTTCGTGCGACGAACAGTTGTGCGATGTTTGGGGTTCTTGCGATTCCGAAACTTACTGCTAAGAAAAAAATCTTGCGCTTTAGTAAAATCTATTCATTTTAGTAAAGTAACTAATTTTTTCGACGGAAGGGTTGGTGGTCTCTTTGCGCACTTATTTGATCGAACACTAAGAAATAAGACCACTGTAGATTCGCTCTTCACGGAGATTTCTATATTAATTTACACTCGGAAATCACTTATTCTCAAAGAATACCTGTCTCGCTAGTTACCAATATTAAGCCGTAAAAATTATTCATAACTTGAGATGTAAATTTAAATTGTTAGCGAAGCCCAAGGCTTGGACACTTTGATATTTGATTTCAATACATCGCAGCTTCAAGTGAAAATTACATGTTTTTTACAGGCCCAGGTTACTGGGAGCATTTAAATGGATATAATAAAAAACGTACAAAAAATACCCATCTTTATGGTGACTACTTCAAAAGTGAATAAAATTTTGTCCCAAGTCCAATAATTGAATAATTCCGTAGATGCTAAAAATCTATATTCTGGTCTCCCCGTATACAGGCAAAATAAAATATAGGAATCACAAACTCGTTTAGTGATGAAAGGCGACTACCAGGTACATCATTCAACTACACTACAAAGGCAAGTGTAAACTTTACCTTAAAAAAATGAGATAACTTATCAAAGGCTTTAGCCTCGACTACTCTGACCCACAAGTCAGAACATAAAAATTAAAAAATTCCAACCCAAGGACATAAAACGCTGTAGTCGATTCAATAAATTTCAAAGATGAAAAGCGCCAGCGTTTAACAATAACACGGGCTTTGTGCCAGCTTCATCGATAAGAATTTAATTCAAACTAGGCCGTTTTCATAGATATTCTCGTATCGTTATATTACTACTCCACTTTTTTTAGTTGGTTAGAAGCCTCGTTTCAATCGATCTAAAAATTAAATCAAACTACAGACAGTCGTAGTCAAGGAAATACTAGAGGTAATACTTAATTAATTTTTTTCCTCCAAAGCCTCCTGGTTTCCAGGCGAGTCTCCAGAAGCAACTGGGTCAGCTAAGGCTCCATCAACGGTGCCAACGTCAGCGGTATCGTCCTCTGCGGCAGTAGCATCATCCCTGGCGTCAGAGATTTCATCCCTGGCATCAGTGGTATCATCCGCGGCGTCAGTGGCATCATTCTCGACGTCAGTGGTATCATCCCCGGCGTCAGTGGTATCATCCCTGGCGTCAGTGGTATCATCCCCGGCGTCAGCGGCAGCATCATCGTCGTCGACGTCAGCAGCATCATCCCCGACGTCAGCGGGATCGCATTCGCCAGAGAACAATTTGGTTTCATCTGTCAAGTCCTTCAAAGACGCCTTCTCATTGTCCTGAAAGAAATTTTCTGTTAGAATAATCTAATCATTGGAAACCTTCGTGGAATAATAACAAGGAAAATCCACGGTAAAAACTTTCTTTATGATTAAACGTAACATACTTAAAGATATACGTTTAATTTCAACGTAGTCGTGCAGAGCCCAGCCAACAAGGGTTTGAAATTCAATTCTTAACGTTTTTCAAGGTGTCGTGCAGTCATAAATCAACAGCTGCCTAATTTCAATAGAGAAATAATGTAGGTAATCCTTCACGTATCATTGCTCAGAATTGCACGAATTTCGTTGCTCAATTCACAATAATAGACCTATAGTACTCGAAATAAATGGAGTGATTGCACGGCCATGTATGCAAGTCCTTCATATTCCAGACGTTGAAAGTTATTTACAACATATTAACTACTTCTTCTCCCAAGATAAAGGTGCGAGAATGAACGTTATGCAGCAGCAGATTTGACATTAATAAGAAACAAGTTTAATTATATTGATGTCAATTCCTCTATCAAGTCTTCACAGTAATAATAATTCTTCGCCAAAAGCAATGATTCTTCGCAACTTTAATCATCAACTTCCGGTGGCAGGCTTGAATCAGACAAGTACACCCACATTTAAACATACACAAGAATATATTCATCAGTAAAACAAAATAGTCTGAAGTATCAAGGCACCTGATCAGCTTTAGTGTCGGAAGGCTTATCAGACGTAGCTGCTGAAGACTTGCTCTCAGTGCGCTTTGGTAGTTGTTGAGCACACGCTGCAGTCGGGACACTTATTTTGACATCATCTTTTACATTGATTTTGCTCTTTGGATGCTCCAATTCTTTAACCTGAGCATCTTTGCAAGGGGTTTTACTAGACTCTTTGTCTTCTTGCTCTTTACTTGAAATTTTAGAGAGCTCCTTGTCATCGCGGATTCTCTTGGTTGTTCTCTTTGTGAGGTCTTTGTCTTGCTGTACGTCATTGTCAAGGCTTTTTAGACATTCGTCTTTACCTTCCACGTGCTTCTTTGAACTTTGTGCTTCATCTTTTTCTTCTTTAGTTGGACTCTTCGAAAGTTTTTCGTCATCAGGCATTTTGCAAGGACTCTGAGGAAGCTTAACATCATCTTTAGACTCTGTGGCATCACATGAGTTTTGTTCGTCATCTTTAGACTCGTCAGAAGTCTCTTCGTCTCGTTGTTCAGGAGCGTCCTCAGTCCCAGCACACGACGATCTCGCCTCCTCATCCACTTCCATGCTGTCGTCAGCAGATGACTCGCAAGTCACCTCGTCAAGCGCTTTGACAATAGCACTAAGACGCGGACTGGTTGACGACTCTCTAGACCCTACATCAGACGTCTTTAGTTTCTTGTAGCGATTCTCGGTTTGTTGATCCTCCTTCCGCTTTCGCCACATCACTGAGTTTATGGACACGCCGTAGCCCTCTGGCTCCCTTTCACTGCCGCTACCTGCAAAGTCGATATTGCATTTAATTCGCTAACAAAAATTATTGACTTCAACAACACCAGAAATCTCATGTTTTTTCGTGTACTCACAGTCAAATAGTCGAACTTTAGAACTTCAAAGACAGAAAAGAATAAGAAGGTGAGGTTAGACCTTCCGGTCTATCAAGAAGATATTTATTTTCAAGTGTGAAGTAATAATATCATGTACTCGTATTAATGACAGTGTTAGGGACCTTGCAACAAAATAGTTACGCAATTGAAGCCCAACAATTTTAAAAGACTTTTCTTCCATCAGTGCACTCACAATCGACGATAGGTACGCCGGCTATACGGCTTTAAAAATTTGTGCATGTACTTCAGAATCATTTTCCTCCTCAATTAAAATAAGCTTCCAATTCAACTTGCTGAAGATACCTTGATATTCGCGTCTAATTCCCTCAGGATCTCGAGTTTTTCCTTCAATGAAAAAACAAGACGACTACAGCAAATAATTTCTCGAAGAAGTACCCACATATTGAGCTAAGTTTCTACATAGGTATCCAGAACGACAATATTTGATGGCTGTAAGACGCTGAACGCGCTTTGATGGCTGAACGCGCATCATGGGATAGAAGACAAAGTTTGCACGTGCATCATGGGATAGAAGACAAAGTTTGTACGCGCATCATGGGATAGAAGACAAAGTTTGTACGCGCATCATGGGATAGAAGACAAAGTTTGTATGCGCATCATGGGATAGAAGACAAAGTTTGCACGCACCTGGCTTACCCTTAACCTCGTCGTCCATGTCTTCTATCTGCTCGTCATCCAAGTCTTGCTTAAGACACTCGTCGTCGAATGTTTCCTCCTCGTCATCCTCCATAGAATTCGCATCGTCGTGCAGTGCACGCTTCCTGGTGCCCACATCTTCTTCGTCTTTGGTCGAATCTGCACAAACGGTACATTTACTAAACAACATCTGCGCCATTATCTAATGAAAATGAGAATGAATAATTATTTTAAAATTGTCCAAAATTAAGAATAATGTACCGTATGCCTATTCTTAATCTTCATCACGTTTTTTTTATTTAAATTTAGATTACCCAATCGTGATACGGATTACATATGAAATATATACTGATTTAACAAAATATACATGAATACTGGTTTGAAATGGACCACATTTCTTTAAACTAAGATTTCTTGCCAAGCCATCCTAGGACTTAGTAAACAAAATCCTAATAAAAGAAAGGTGAGATATTCTTCAAAATACTTGAGTTGAGAAATTTCTAGCTTTGAATACAAGAATCACGAGAAGTAAATTATGAAATCTAATCAAATATTGAAGAAGAGTTAGAAGATACTAATTATTAGGAAGAAACTACATCTGTCAGATGACTTCGAGACTAATGTCCCCCAACACACGAGTTAAACACGCGCAATTCTGCGTACGAGAAGAATATAAACTGTGTAAGCTAATAAGTTCAACCACATTTTTTATCAATTCATGCACTCACAGACATACGCACTTGTTAACTGTATTGATTCCTCTTCATAAAAGTTATATTTAATGCAATGGTATGCATACAAATACAAGCCAAAATGATGAGGAAATTTAAAGTAGCAATAGACTTCATTAGGAAATCTGAATACATTTGATGAGAAATTCAACGATTCTTTCAGGCATTGCACAATATTAATCGAATTATTGTTCACTAACTAATCTTTAAATAACTATACTCCTGAGGTAGTTGCAGTGTTGCAATTATCTATGCATTGCATACATAGCGTCCTAGGTTACTGAAAGTAAGACACTCAAGGATGCAAAATTTCTAGATTTTCTACAAAATTGTTCAGTAAACAGTCTACAATGCACATATCCATCTACCAATCATACTATTCATTGACAAGTTGTCAATTAATAATATCGGGCGATCAATAAACAAAGAATCAACAAAAAATAGGTTTACATTTACCCAAGCATAAAATTTTCACTATACGCTAATAGCAACTCACTAAAAATAATTCTATATAATATTTTTACTCACTGTAACATTTTCAAATATCTGACTTGAAGTTACATGTCATGGCATAATTAAAACCACCCATAACATTAAATTTTGCCTTGGTCGAGGGTTTCCAGACTTTAGAACCACGACTGGTCTTAACCATACGTTTCGTGATTGGTAGTTGGGAATAGTTGGATCTTATCGTATCCGTTCACACTGTCAAGGCAACTATTTTTTAAAGTCAAATTAATTTGCAAGCTGAACAGTACAACAAAATAAAATATAGGTGCAAAATATGAAAAATTTTGTTGCAAAACTAATATATGCTCACTTTCACCGCTCTCAAACTGGGATTTCGTTCAGACATGGTTTGATCGATCCTGTAGCGTTCAGTGAACTAGAACTATACAGGAACTGGTGGACCAGACTCTTATCTTCGTGTTCTCTCAACCTTTGGACTTATCAGGGTAACTCAAGTAGCCAGGTTATTAGATGCGAGAAGCATCAACAAAGGTTAAGGTTTCCGTAGATGAAAGACCTACTGCTGCTGGCTCTCGTTTCGTCTTCTAGATAGGAATACCGTAGTATTAATAACGCAATTTATCCCTGGATATGTTTACAAGAAAGCTAATGCATGCAAAATTATAGTCTGTAAATGGAGAGAAGTAAGATAGAAATGCGAGTTAAAAGGCATTATTTCCCAACATATATTCTTTGCTTTTGATTAGTTAAATACAAGAAACAAATGCCATTTAAATAGTTGATAAAAAAAGATACACAGGTAGAACAAACTAGAGTCCATTTTATCGCATAAATATCTATATCCAGTGTTTGTATTCGATTAGTTTGGCCCAATAAATTAAGTACGGATTTGACTGTTCACAAAGAAATGAACTAACCTTCCAGCATTTCGAGACTATTTCTAAACGCAATGATGTCATGAGCACTGAGCTTAGGTCGCATGGGCCGCTCTAGTTCCTCAGGAGCTTTCTCAATGATTATGTTTAAGTGAGTTACTCTTTCAATGTCAGGAGAAGTTTCGGTTTTCGTTCTTGAATGTTTTCCCTTCTCGCGAGAACATTTAACTTTATGACGACGTTGCTTTGAAGAACGAGGGCCTGTTACAAATAAGGCAAAAAAATTCGCCAGTAGGAAAAAAATGAAAAATTTATCAACGAAACCAAGTCCAAGGAATGATAATGGATATAAGTATATTAGCGTTTCACATATTCCAGATAGCTAACATTTTAGTCAAGATTAATTTCACAACTTGACACTAAAAATATCTGTCAGCCCTGACAAAACAATTCGTAACAAAAATCAAGTTCAGGTAGAATTGCAGAAACTATTGAATTCTGAGTTTAATGCAAACACAGTTAATTTTTAATCTGGTTAACTCTGTAGAAATTAATTCCTTTTTATTAAGTCTCATAGCCAGACTTGCCGAATAATTACACAAGAATACCAGTCTACATTTAGAATAAATATTGCTGTTTTGAACTAAAAAATCACATTGGTTACAAGGATGAAGACTGACCATGGTGATCAGGACATATGCAATAATAATGAAGGCAACTGACGATTTTCAGCTGACGCGATAGTATGGGTAGGTACCTAGTTAATATTGGGCAATCATCAAAAAAATTAAAAATGATATTAAGACACGGCTCAGATCACTCGTTAGTTTACAAACAAAAAGATTATTAACAAAGGAAATTCCTTCTAGATAGCAAATACGGCACTATTGATAGCTTTGAAATTTGAATGGTACGGTATCAAGACAGAATAAAGACCATGAAAAAAATTATATGTTAAACCAATATTACTTTGGAATTTGTCCAAGTGATGAGGTAGAGGTGGTCTGTGCGGCCTGAAACTGTTGGACATCTGCAGGCCATTGAAAAGCGTCAGCCGCTGCTGGGGGTTTGAACAGTCTTCAGATCTGTAATCGTTTAATGGTCTTTAGGTAAGCAATAGTATAATGGTGTTTACATCTGTAAAAGTATAAGTCTTCATTTCTCCATTCCAAAATAATCTAGAAATATGCTTAAATATTGGCTAGCTTAGGAAATGAAAATTAGTAAAATTTATGTTCACAATGCTGAGTTGCAAAGAAACAATAAAGCATGAAATTCAAAGCATCAAAATGAACATTCAACATCCAAAATAGTTTCAGCCAGTAAATCATCCTAGAGCTGTGACAATTTTTCAAAAGATAAACGTTTTAAATTATTTTTTTTTCTAAGTAATTTATTTACATTCCACAAATGCTGAATAATTTCAGTTTCAAATAATCAACATAAGTTTGCTACATACAGGGCAGGAAACAAAGAGATCTCGAAAAATTTAATTCTAAAGTTTGCATGAAAACTAACAGTCTGCCGATGGTGGAGACAACGAGAATGTTCTTCTCAAGGCCTCGCAGGAGTTTGTCGGTCCGTCTGTAGTGGCGTCCAGGGTCTGTGAGTATCTCACACAAACGCTGGATTGTAAATGGTGCTCTGAGGAGAAATTTAACAAATCAAGTCAGGATTTTCTGTCCATAAAATATTTTCATTGTCTAAATAAATGAGTATTTCAAGTCTAATAATATCTCTTCAGAGCATAAAAAGGGGAGCTGTAGAATTGTTTCAACAATTTTCTGTGATGAATAAATGTATAGGTACCGGTATATTTCAACACGGGTGGTTAATGGCCAGAGAATTCATTAATTTAAATTTTCAGGGTCGAACAATATTCTTCGGATGACATTAGTTGATCAAAATGCAGGTTCAAGGGAGTAATATCAATTTATTAACGACGTTTCGAATGTAACAACATTCATTTTCAAGTTACAGGAAGCATTGAATACAGAAATTTTGATGGAAATAAGTACATGATACAAGTAAATAGGATACAACAACAGCCGTTTATCCTGCCACCTGAGACAAGCTCGCAACAAGACCAGGTCTCGAAGCATCACAATCAAGCAACTTCATCTCAAGATCCGCGATGAAATCAATTGGTCCCGTGACACTCTCGACAACTTCAATCTCAACAAGACTGTTATTTGCACTGTGCTGGAGGAACCCACCAGCATCGTCATCTTGTGGTGGCCCGACATAATCCGACCGACGATAGCTGAAGCCCTTTTCTTTGGATTGGACTCTATCTATCATCTCATAACAACCTGATTTTCTAAGCTTTGAGATTGTTTTGGAATTATTTTCACGGTTCCAAATTTTCTTGTTGTATCCTATTTACTTGTATCATGTACTTATTTCCATCAAAATTTCTGTATTCAATGCTTCCTGTAACTTGAAAATGAATGTTGTTACATTCGAAACGTCGTTAATAAATTGATATTACTCCCTTGAACCTGCATTTTGATCAACTAATGTCATCCGAAGAATATTGTTCGTCCCTGAAAATTTAAATTAATGAATTCTCTGGCCATTAACCACCCGTGTTGAAACAAGCTTATTCTGCCTGCTGATACTAACTTCTAAACTTATGTACCGGTATATGTAGATGGCTTGAAATCTTAGTTTGAAACATGTGACAAGGATTCAACCATACAAATAAATATTAAATCTGAGGTTTAAATTGATACCAGAACTTTTTCTAACTGGAATAGTTTATAAATTATAAAGCAAGCTAATTTTTGAACAGCAAATGATTTTACTGACACTGAAGTCAGTAAAATCAATCAATATATTTACTGAATCTACATATCCATTTTTTAAATAATTCAACAAAAATAACTGAGAATAAAATCAGTTATATTGCTTTACATAAAATTTATACACATAAATGAAATAAATGAAAATAAAAATGATAGATTTGCAACTTTTTGAAGCATTTTAAGAATCTCACCCTGTGAAGGAATCAAAATGCTGGAGTAACTTCTCTTTAGCAGGCAAGTAATTGAATGGAGGTAAGTTTTGGCTGTCAATGTCTTCTATGCCGAACTTCACATAGAAGCTTGTTAGTATCTGGAATACAAATAACATTTATTGAAATAGCAGCTGTATGAATGAGCACTCGGTATACACAATTATAAAAAGAGAGAAAAATCAAAGGCAAATTTAGATAGGTATGAATTAAATTCAGTAAATTAACTCTTACTTAAAACTTTTACTTGCGTATAAACTAAAAATAGATGAGGAGAAAGCATTCTAACAGTGAGGATCAATTAATTCAAATTGTTCAGCATTCCTTCAGTTTACCTAAATTTATGGTTTCTTTGTTTGTGACCTAATCAGTTGACATCTTTTATTGCCTTTTCTTACATAAATAAAATAAATTTCATAAAAATAATTATAATTTATTTATATTTAATAATTATAATAATTTTATCTAACATAATGTCTTGTTACAACTAGAAATTATCCATATTTGGTTACCCTGAATTGGGCTTTGTACTGTTTGCTTGTCATTTCATAATGATTTTGAAGTCAAATTAAAGGTTATTAGCATTTGGAGACCTGCACCCTTACCGAGTCAATCTTGTGGTGGATGAAATTTTTTACTTTTTTCCATGGCAGTAGAGGGTCACCAGTCCTGGCAATACTTTGGAGGTATTTGTCAAGGTAAGTATGTGCAGCCTGTCGAGAACCTGTCTGTTCCATACTCTCACCTCCATCACTTTCTTCTCCTTCCTTCAGTATCTTATCAAACTCTGCACATAATCGAACAATATTAATAATTCAGATGCAATCATAGTTACACACATAGGAATTCTCTAGTGAACTCATAGCTAAACTTGGACTTAGCACTCAGAAACAAAATACAGTTTTAAAGAAATTTATAAATATAAGGCTGTCATTAAATCAATGCAAGGTTTCCAAATTCACATGGTGTGTTTCAATGATTGTCATACATATGTATAGGTATAATTATACATATATGGTCTAAAAATTTTAATTTCATAATTGCTAATACAACTTTTTCTATATATTTATCATTTGCATAGGCAACAGTGAAGAAAATCTATATACATTGTCTACATAAGGCTATGCAGTACCGTATGCTATGATATGAAGCACAAAATTTATACGGTACAGGTAAATACAGTACTTACTTTCTAATTCCAGTGCCAATCTTTCTAGATCAATAGTATCAGGGTCAATATTTTCTGGCATTTCTGAGCTCATAATTAGAAAGGCTGAAAGAAATAAATGATTAGTAGAAATTTTATCAAGTCATTAATGATCATCACACATAATGAAACTATCTTCTGCTATTGAGAAGATATCTTATCTTAAAAAATATCTTACAAGGGCCTTGAGCAGCATTATAAAAGAAGATACACAATATCTCAGACCATTTAGGAAAACCTTGCTGATTGAATATGGCCTTTTCCAAAGAATTAAAAAGGTTAAACTTCAATAATTTAACATTGACGCTCCAAAGACTCAAATTCTGCATAACTTGTGCTGGCAACCACGACATTGCAACCACGGTTAGGTTAGGTTTCTTTGCCGATTTTGCATATTTTTGCCTGATTTTTTTTGACGAATTAGAGCCTCGGGGAAAAAAATCGGTTTTCCGATGCCAACTGCCAAAAGCGGATTTCAGATTCTTTATCTACGCCCCAAAAAACATAAAAAAACACCTTTTTTGGATGCACTTAATCTAATGTATTACCAAAGCCACAACCCACCACAACTACAGGCTAGAGATTTCCCATAAATTTTGGAACAGCAAGATTACTGCTACAGAGCAAGTGTGTAAAACATCTACCTCTGGAGTCACAACAAGAGCTTTCTTGCTATTTCCAAAACCGCAAGATTTCCAGAACCAGAATCCAGATGAACTGCCTCCTATCTAATTGTTGACAAAAGTGCACAATCGGGCCATGAGATTCCAATTGTGTTACAAATTTGTCACAATGGAGCCACAAATAGTGGCAAAGCAGAGAGTTTTTTAGACTCTCATTCAAGATCATTTTTGAGTCCTATATGTAGACCAGTAAAGTATCCTGGATACCAGCATTATCATACTTGAAATTGTTGAGAAATTGGTTTAAATCTTGAGTAGGGTAAACGAGGTATATTCCGACATTGTGGGTAATTCCGTCACCTCGCTAGTTTTTCCTTTATATTAAGCTTTGTTTTAGTTCCATGCGTTTGTTGATGGTTGAAATGGTGACGTCATACATTTGTGCATCGAACTAATGCCAAAACACTAGGTCTTGGCCATCTAGCAGGAACATATTGAGATCCAAAGAGAGACAATGCACACTACCCAGTGAGATCATCGAAAAAAGTGTCAAATTTGACAGTTGACCTTGCTCTAACATATAGTGAATACCGGTACCGTAAAATGGGGTAACTTGACCACTTTTTTTTTATAAATGATGCCATTTTTTTACTAGCTGAATTAAACTTGAATTGAAACATGCAAAATACAGGTCTATACTCTAGCTTCACTCACCATAAATTGCTGGGTCCTGCCTCTCATAGTCTTTATGTAATTTCAAAAAAAGTGATGGTCTTTGTTACCCCAGCTCTTGGGGTAACTTAGACCGGGTGGTAAAATCAATTATATTTTTTGGTAAAATAACTCCAAATAACTCCAGGTTTTGGGGCATTGTAGTTAGAACTCTTCTAGTTACATATGCAAATGAAAAACTTGAGGAAAGTGTCATAGTTTGCAAATGGGGGGGCGCCGCCCCATAATGAGGAAAATGTGACTACCTAATGGCAGCCCTGATGGGGTAATATTGACTGGCTTGGAAATTAAGTTAAAATTACCATATATAAGACTCTGTAGAGTCTGAAACATAAAGAAAAAACATAAAAAGAGTGTCAAACATAAAGTATGTTATATATGGTAATTTTATATTACCTTCCAAGCCGGTCTATGTTACCCCATCAGGGCTGACATTAGGTGGTCTAAGTTACCCCATTTGGGGGGGGGAGCCCCTCATTTGCAAACTGTGACACTTTCCTAAAATTTGTCATTTGCATATGTAACTAGAAGAGTTCTACTACAATGCATCAAAACCTGGAGTTATTTAACCAATAAATAAAAAAATTGGAGGGGGTACTAACAGAGTGGCTCCATAGAACACCGGTCTCGCAAACCCAGGAACCCGCCCTCCAATCACCAGGTTGACGAATTTGGTAAGGGAGGTCAGTAACCTCATGCCCGCCTCACCCGGCTTACGCGAAATCAGGGCCACCAGATGACCCGGGCGGAGCCCGTCCGGACCACCCGCTGAACCCGGCTTGAAGGAAGCAATGGCTTGAAGCCGTGGAATGGAAGCAAGCCGTGTTGTATCCCAATACAGCTCACACAGCGAACGGAATTCGAACATGTGGATGTCGGCATTACGCATCAGTTCAATTTGAAGCGCTGACGCAATGCGACTCACCACGTGTCGAATATTGCCACACACAGTGACCGAATATATGGATTTGGTAGGTTTCCATTCTAAAGGCTTTTTAATAAATATGGCAACATTTTGTGACGTTTCATCGTTGCTGACGCGTAGTCCGGTGTTTTGTGAGTCACGTGAAGCCAACAGAAGTTACGTAACGCATACAGTTCTTTTTATAGTTTTTCATTTCTCGATGTGTCCTTAATGTGTCGGAATATACCGCGTTTACCCTAAATGAGAAAATTAAAAATGAACTGATTCTAAAAAAGCTCTGGTTTGCCACTATGGCCACAATATATCAGAAGCAAGTAGGAAAATTCCAATCCTTCAGTACAGGGTGATTTACAAAAACTACATCATTTGAAAGCTCATTAAAAAAACTAGTAAAGATATAATTACAAATTTACAATATAAATTTTATTGAAAATGCATTGCTTAAATTTTTTATACCATCAGCTTCACCCCTGTCACTTTGGCCAACATTTATTATTATTATTATTTTTTTTTTTGCTGCCATTTGTTTCTGTTGTGCCTTGGCAAGTTGGCCTTGGGGCTTGGGCTTGTGGTGGTGGCAGAAGTCATCCCTAGTAGGCTTGTGGGCTGTGGCCCATGGCATGGCCAAAGTCACACCAGTGTGGAATTCTGTATAGGTAATATATTCTCATGTCAATATAAGAAAACGTATCGAAATACCAACCCTACCACCGCGTTGCACCACCTTCCACTGCAATGAAAATTGACAAACTGAGCTCATTTGAAAATCGCGCGTGGTTTGAAATCCAATCCCGTGTTGCCAACGACTAATCAAGTTAACTAGTTGTTTATCTGTAGGCTATCGGACACATTTTTGCAATGAATACGTTCTAAAATAAAAAAAAACACATCCAGCTTCATAAAAAATTCTCACGATTGGACAACACCCACAAAGTTTTCGATTTCACCCAAAATTATGAGATAAACTTTGACTCTTTCACTTCGCACATTCACATGGTGTTTTCTGTTTACTTCTCACAAGACGGTGTCACACACTTGTTTTGGTTGTGTCTAGTTTGATTTCACAATAAATAGACTTGATTCACATTCCATTCTGAGATTTAAATGATTGAAAGTTTTTTTAAATTATAAAAACCTATTTATACGTTCCAGATTTGAATTTGTTGCCCTATTATGTTGAATTTATCTTGATAAATTCACTTCAAATTCTGAATGATTTCGTCTGCCATCCCGCGTTTTTGAACGTTTTGTGTCTTTTAGAAAATTTTTGTTGTTTAATATGGGAAACTATTTCATTATAGAAAACATAGAGCATGTATGGTATAGTGCATTAATAATACAATTTAATTCAATAAAGATTAATTTTTATTTTAAAAAATATAATCTGATTTTTAATTCAACATTTTTCTAATAGAATTTAATTCTACAGCATGTACCATCTAGTGTATTAAATAATAAATATTGATTTAGTAAAATTTAATTTTATTTAATTTTTTAATTTAATTTAATTCTACAGCTTCAACCGGTAAAAATGAGCATCATAGGAATCAAAGTAAAACTGTCATTCATACATCACAAATTGAATGACATTGGATGGATTTGATAGGTATTTTATTAATCCTGTTTATATATAAGAAAGGAAATGACGCTTCTATTTCAGAATGATAATGGAAATGTTTCTACTATTTCAGAAACTTTTCTTGAATACACTTCCAAAAACTAAAGTTCTGTAATCAATGGAGTCTTTGAAATGACAAAATCATTCAATTTAAAATTTTTAGCTATATGAGTAAGATCGTCATTTGTCAATATGAGGAGCATTAATTTGTCATTACTGAGGAGCTGTAAGAATAAATTCATTGTTTTTTATGTAAAAGGATGTTTTTCAATTAAAAGAAATGCAATAATTGATTTTTGGAAATACGATGTTAAAATTAACAATCCGTATTAGAATTCAAAGTCGTTTTCATTCCTTTGATCAGAAGTTTTCGTTCGTTTGATCAGAAGTTTTCGTTCGTTTGATCAGAAGTTTTTGTTCGTTTGATCAGAAGTTTTCGTTCGTTTGATCAGAAACAGAAAAAGTTTTCGTTCGTTTGATCAGAAACAACATAATTATTCATTCTCTTGCATCAAGTATACAAACGATTAGTTAATTCGTAATTCCTATACAACCGTATACGAATTGAGTATACGATTGATCATCCCGCTAGATCACCGTTAGCGGGAAAGAAGCAATTCAATTCAGTATTACTTTAGCTCACGTGATATGAAGTTCGGCTCGTCTGAACTCTGAATTGCAAGTTTAGTGTGCACTGTGCATGATGAAAAACTCTGCCTAATGATTACTTAATGAAGATTAGTTCATTGCGGTCAACTTAAGAGACAAATTTTCAACTAACATACTTTTTATAAGTCTAATTTTAATTGTTGAGTGAAAGGTGCATACTGGCAACTTCCAAGTGATTAGGTACTTTATAGATACCTACTGAGCAAGTTAGCGTACGTGTTTCAAGCCTTTAAGAAGTTCATTTTTTGCCTCAAATAACGATGTTGGATCGAAAAAGTGGTCTTGGTGGATTGAAATAATATATGAACCTTCGAAATTAGAATTCCATCCTGAGTCACACCTCACACCATGCTAGTATGGAATATATCTACTTGGCGAGCCGCGACTGAATTTTTCGAGCCGTGGTTTTATGGATTTGCCAGCCGTGATTCCATTTCTACGAGCCGTGATTCTATTTCACCGAGCCATGAATTCCATATCTCGGCCATGAAAAGCCATTTACGAGGTGCGAATGCGAATTTATTTACAAAGTTTATGCACGTGTTACCCCAAATCTCTAATTTTACCCTTAAACAGTCAAACGGCAACAATAAAATTTGTCTCTACTGTAAGTTCAGCACGTGTTAATATACAGTCTGACCGCTTTGACATGACCGCAACTATGCGCGATCTTCAACAAACGTTTTGTTTATTTGTTTACATTACGATGTTTATGTTTTTTCTGCAAGATATTTTTGGCTGAAACGGTAAAGCAATGCGGATTGCGGAAGTTGAAAATTTTATGAAATGACATGTTTGCAAAGTGCAAACCGCGATTTTTTAATCAAACAAAAATTTATGACATTCGAGCCGCGAGATTTCATACCTACTGAAATTATATGATATTAGAGCCGCGAGATTTCATACCTACTGAAATTATATGATATTAGAGCCGCGATATTTCAGACAAAAATAGGACTTTTCCAGACTAGACACCATGTGAGGATGTGACCACTACCACTTGACACAGACAGTAACTTAGTTTTAAAGATGACATTTGATTGGGCAAATGCCAGTCACAGCCCAGCTACACAGGAGCCAGGTGACCAGGTCCACAGTTAGCCACTTAGCCCCCCTTGACCCTTGTCAATGCTGACAATGCATTCAGTTGCTAGCCTAGTTGATTATCAATGGCTGGATGTTGACATGTTGTTGATGGCTTGGCTGCCCTTGGCAGTTGGCACATGTTGCACTTCAAATTAGGAATGGTCCTTCACTCCATCTCCTTCACCTTCACTCCTTCAGGGTCCTATAGTACATAACAATACATTTCCAATCATCAGAAACCCGATGTGAAGGTTTCTACGGAAGTAACGGAACTGTCAACTGAGTTCAGTACAGAAATGAGAGAATTCTCCTTGAGTAGCAATTATGGAAAGGCCATTATTGCATTAAAGAAGTACAGCTCAACAGCAAACGCAATTGGCCATCGCACACCTAGGAGGCTAGGGGCCTAGGCCTCTGGCCTACATACTTTCTACGCATAACAAAAGCAATTTGCATACATTCCTGTCATTTCATTATCCATATGACATGCTTCTAGAAATTATAGGTAGTGTCCATTCCCAACATTGTTACTCGAGTCGGCATTTGCCATTGCATGTGTGATTTGAAATTAAAAATGTGTAGCGGCATTATTTCCCAATATATTTAGCCTAGGTAACATTTTTCAATTCCAGCATGAAAAAAGTTAGGTACCGCATTGGCAAACAAATAAAATTTTGTTGCAGAGCAAAACGCAGGATAATAAAAAAATCTATCAAGTCTCTCTTCCGTAAATTTAACCTAGGTAGTTAGTTGACGACTTGATGTGCGACACGTCTCGGACAAATTTGAGACGTTGTAGCCACAACATAGTTCACACTACGACTAGGCTACAAGACCAAACGCTTTGATCTTCGCTAAGGTAAGGTTGAGCGAGTTATGTAAGGGCTATGTGCAGCCAGAAGATGCATTGTGAACATGAGGAGCAGTGATCTTCGCATAAAAATTGTAAAACAGCGAATATTTTTTATTGTATAATTTTATCAAATAATCCGATAAAACTATATCCAATGTCAATAATATTAATTATTAGTAAATGTGCAATATCACTCGATTGCGTACTTTTCTATTTCAAGAATCCAAAAAGAATTTCACAGAACTCGAAAGTCGCCGAGTCTCACGGGCTACGGCGCTAAACTCGGGCCTATTCCAGAGATATGTCAGTTTCAATGAAGATTTGAATAATTTACTTGGCTTCAATGAAGATATGAATAATTTACTTGACGTTCTTTCACTTTTATAAACAAAAAGATCAAAGCAGCTGTTAGAAAATGGCTCAGAAATAATATGTATAGTATTTTAGTACAGCAGTGTCAGCGCTACTCAGGTCGATAGACCTGTCGCCGATCCTAGACATTTCAGAATATTCACAGCTTGTTGCGGGCTCGAACAAGCAACTCATTGCTCTAATTTTGCGTTGCTTAACCTCTCGCCGATTTGAACGAAACCGTCGCATGAAGCTAGGAACGAACCCATAGCTCGCTGCTGCAAACATGGTACTCTGGACTAGTACCACTGGATCTACTACACGAGTTTACTACACATTCTATAAATGGTAGAAAATAATTTCTCAATCTTGACGTGTCTTGCCCTTGCTTCTTAGTAACCTTCCAAGATCTTCAATTGGTGCTTGAATGTGAGCTATCTACTCACGGGTGATTCGAGCATTCTGGGGTTTGCGTGACCACAACATAACGTATAGGTTATTTATTTCGCACATCTGTTGAAAGAAGTCCTTATCACAAATAGATTCACTCACCACGGCAATATTCGACCGCCCGCGCTGCCACATCCTCAAAACTTTCCAAGACGAGCTTTGCACGAACTATGCGTAAACTAATTGCTCTTATGACGTATTATTAATGTTTGCCACCAGTTCTAGTTCTCTTATAATTGTAAAACTGCCATACTTCTGTTCACTCTTCGGCGTTCGTGTTCGTAAGGATGAAACTCTTGTAATACAAAGTTTGCAGTTTTTTTGTTGATGAGCTTTAATTAAAAATAGAATAGAATAGAAGTGTCGGCATTGAAGAAATAGGCCCATGGCCTGTTGCCGATTCTTGAACTTTTCGTGACTTGATTCACAAGGGATCCGGCCTCTGGAACCCGATCTTTCCATAACTGACGATTGATTGAGATAGCTGCTGGACTTATTGCCTGGTGTCAGGCCGTGATGTCATCAGCGACTATTACGTCACCTTCTGTGACGTCACTATTCGCGGGTCACCGCGTATATAAGCTCGGTGAGCCGACTGCCAGTCAGTCTTAGGTCAGTCATAGGCGAGTCTTAGGCAGACAGCCTTCAGCTGCAGTCATGCAGTTAACTCAAGACTCCGGCACTCAGCCAACACGCAGTGTCGTATACTCCATCTCCAAAATTACTGCACATACTATGCTTTGATCCTGTAACTTTTATCTAGTGGGAACGACTTCAATATGAGTGCCGATAGAGGAGACAGCAATTTAATTAATTGTACTAACAACGTACTGATAGAAACATTGGTTCTCTTACAATCATATTCGATGAGGAATCAGAGTTTATCCTGAATAATTCTCATCATTTTGTGCTGATTCATTTCCTTTTCAGCACTAACTATAATTAAATAAAGATGTTACTTCTTTTTTAATCTGATTAGTAGAAGGTACCGAAAATAATTTGCATATCATAGTATTGTGAATAGAATTTCATATGTTTTCTTATGTACCTGGGTTTCGCGATTGCAAGCCATCTTGCTGAATCATGATCTAATAAAATGACTGAAATAGCCATTTACATATAAAGTAACATAACGTAAAATAATTTGCGAAATAATCCAACGCCGCTCAGAGTAAACCTAAGAATAGGCTATTGCATGGTTCTCTAAAAATAAAAATCAATGAAAATGTATTTTCTTCTTGCCGAGCGAAAAACTGTATTTTTGAGCGTATAAAGCCAGAAAACCGGCATTGAACTTCTATGTAATATTAAGTTACTACTATGATGTCCGTTGACATATGTAAACTATAGTAACTGAGCCTTTTTCTTAAAAATTAGGTTTGAAATAATGCCAAATTAATTAATGCCTAATCTAAGCACTGATGTTCAACGTTCAGTCTCATTGTAATTAACAATTCCGATCATTGTTAAGAAACTTGTACACATGACACTGATGAGTTGACCCACGTATTAGCTTTGCTTTATATTAATGAAGCGAGGACGCTTCTACAGCGTAGGGGGGACGTGTCAGGCCGTGATGTCATCAGCGACTATTACGTCACCTTCTGTGACGTCACTATTCGAGTTTTTGAAGATGTTCATACTCAGAGCGTCAACGATGCTATCAGGGAGGCTGTTCCACATGTCGGTGACTCGAAGCGAGAAGAAATGTTGTCGCATGGATGTGTTCCAACGCTGTTTTTTTAGTTTTTAGCCGTGGCCCCTGATGTTGGTTCTTGTTTCAAATTCTAGTAATCCTTCTGGGACCTTGTATAAGCCATGAGTATAATAAATGACTAGATAAGCATAACAAACACTTCTCGTTGTTTTATTGTTTATGTGTGCAGTGGCAAACCTATTGATCTAGACCTAGCATTATTGGCAAACCTAAATCCTATAAAAAAAACAGCCAAGCCCGTTCTCTACGTCACTCTGAAATCTGTTCTCTTATATAAACCAATAAATCCAGAACGTCATGTTGAACGCCAACAACAATATCGGTACACAATACACCCTCATGATTTTCATTATTTTTTCGGGCAGATCATGATTTTTTTCCATAACTTGATATTCAGACTTCATTCCATTAACTTTGTTTATCCCCATGGCATTTTTCCTTCGCAACCAAAGAATGAACTCGTTTGAATATTGCTCTTGATCTAGATACTCGATGAAAACATGAAATATAATGATGACGAAGAGTAAAGTTATGACCGCGAATAGCCAAATGTCAACCATTTTCAGGTAGGATGTGCTCGGCAGGTCTCCAGAAGTTTGATCAAAGAGAGTATAAAGCACCAACAAAGTCGTGAGAGCTACAGACAAGCGGACCTGAGGAAAAAAATATTATTTAAAAAGTAATTCATTCCAGCTAGAAGTATCTTTTCGTACAAGTATATGTCGTTTGGATGTTTTATTGATGTAGCTATGCAACTTGTCCTTATGAAACTTACGTTTCCCGCTAATATTCATTTCACTTGTTTTCATGATGTCTTGTACCATTAACCTTTCGAATAAATCGTTGGAATGAAAATTTTTTTATTATGATTCAGCGCAAGGAGAAACGCATTTAAATATGTAAACTGAATGCTATTTATCTCTCTTTGTTGTTTCATTATATGCCATTAATGTTGACGCGGTTAATAAATTTTTCTTAAAAACTTCCGGATTTTCTTAACTCCTTACCTCCAAGTATTTAACTTTCACAAAGAGCGTGCAATAACCGATGCAGGCCAGCAAAACCGTCGGCAAGAACAAAGTTAACATCACAACGCTAGGTTCTCGTGCCAGGAAGATGTCGATCTGTAACGAAGATAATTTAATAAATGGATTTAATCTAGTTGACTCATTGTAATTTTAATTCAATTCGACATTCTGGCAATGCCTTTACAGAAGTAATTACCTATTTCATACTTTGGAAATAAAATTGCATAATTTCGAAGATGCAATTTTTATAGGTCTATCATCAGATTAAGACCTCGGTTAAATGTACCCAGTCATTCTTTAACAAACTTAAGAAGTGGGCACAGTCTGATTTCTTGTTATTATATCTTTTATTCAGTCAAAAGTCTTGGTCAAAAAACAGTTGTTCAATAAAATCTCAGCAGAGATTCATGGTATTCAATAGATAAAAATTAAAAGTATGACAATAGATTTTGTGGATCTTGGACGTAGCATAGAAGTATTTTAATTTTTAAGTATTCGAACTCATTCTCCCAATCGGCAGTTCGAACATAAACGAAAAGAATGCCCAGTGCCTGAAGATATACCAACGCCATTCATAACCTTAATGCCGGAGTAGAATGTCGTGTTTCGCTTCACTCTGATCGCTTGTGCAGTCATTTTTTCGACGGAGAATCGGACAAGCTGCTGCGTACCGGCGTAGGTCAGCGACAGACTATCGTTATTAAAAGTCACTAGTCGCTCCGAGGAGAGCCCCAGGTGTATCAATACATCGCAATGATGCTTGTCGAATGGGTAGCGAAACACGTTGAACGAGCAAGCGAACTTCCCACTGAAGTAACAAAACATTATAACATTAATCGATCGCAAGTATAATTTATGGTTAGATCTAAAATTCTACTGGTAGGGCAAAGGAAGGCAACTATAAATTTTTAGAATATGCAAAACGGATTTTAATTTTGACATTATAGATGCAACTGACATGGCTAACAAATAGAATGTATAGGCTTTCAGTAAATTTAATACAGTTTACTACACCGACATTAAAAAAACATCAAGTTTCTAACCCATATTTAAATTAGAAATTGGGAATGATTGGTCTGAAGCCCACCTCAAATGTTTGTGGAGCACTAGAAAGGCTGATGCACCAGCATACTCAAAATCTGCAACGAAAACATTGAAATCACATGCCTGAACGAAAATCGTATGGATAGGAATGTTCCACGAAAAAAAAGTATCTAAATAAATATGCACGGTTTTAGACAGGGACTGTTAACTTCCGGCTCCTGTGGAGTTTGACCCTTACTCGTCTTCACAGGGTGCTATTCCTACAACCATGCTTGTTCATTGAAAATTATATGAAGTAAAAAGTGTGTGGGCTCTCATATCTTAACTCTTTAATGCACCCCGCCAGGGTTGCATATTAAATGCAGTAGGTATTTAAATTGTGTAATTTCACAGGAGTTCGGAATGTTTTTCAATTTATTTCACAATTTCTTTTCGAGGCATTAACTTACTCGTATGTATGGAGTTGAAGTCATCCTGTTTGCGGGTACCATTTTTGACAACGTGAACCTCATCGTAAATATGGTTGATAAAACCTTTATGCGCTGATGGAAAAACAAGAGTCGGTGTCCATATCCGTTCCAAATCGCCCTGAGGCAGCTCATTATCCTCCATTTTGTCACCTAGATTGTAATATACAAGACGCCTGTCTCGCCACTTCATTTCAATTTTAATCTCTAGGCCGATCAAATTTCGCTTATCGTCGATTTCAAAGAATCGCAAAACATCGACATGGATGGACACAAAAATTGGGCCCACATCGCCGAATTCTCTTCCGGGTGATCGAATGATACTGTAACCCTCAGGGATACCAAGGATGTTGCAATTGTTTTCGTCAGATAAGTCGGCACAATTGGCAGCCCCGTCACACAGCTGGGCGCGAGGGATACACTCAGCGTTATCACACGCGTATTCGTCACCACTACACGCGCTGATACTAAGAGCAATCAACGAACCTTCTCTGTGATCGCAAGTTTTGGAAACAATAGACCACATCTTTCTGCCAATTGGATAAGTTTCACCTGGGGGTAGAGTTATTTCAGCGATATTTTGTTGCAAGTTGGAATCGAATAAGTGCCACTCGCTTGTACCTAGCATGTTGTGAATGTTAATTCCATAATAACCACAAATGTAGATGGATTCATTGACATATCCTCTTAAGTTCATAAAGCTCTCAGTCTCAGAATTGAAGCACAGTCCACGAAGCCTCAAGGTTCGATGCGTCATGCACGGAGCACAGTTTGGCCAAGCCTCTGAACAATTGTAGTCTATTAAAGCAGCCTCTTTCGAAGACAGAATGGCGCAGTTATAGTCCCGCCCGTCGTTGGGTTCACCGTTCAGAAATAAATTTTCTTCGAAAATAGTTCCGTCTTTTGTATTTCGCCAGGTTCCTTCTTCTTCCTCATCGGTTATTCCGACATAAACTGTAAGGGAATTGCAAGCGTAGTTAGAGGCACTAGTTAAATCATAGAGCTGTGTGAGAGCTTTCTGCGTGTTCGGCGTAAACAGGAAGCCTCCGAAAGCATCACATATGCGCCCGGATTCGTAGAAAGTATTTGGACCATTAAGTACCCAGTATTTATTTTCAACTGAACAAAATTCTGTTAGAGGAACGTAGCTTTCAAGTACTTCAAACTTGTCTATAGCATCCTTCTGCAGAGAAAATACGTTCCCGTTGCCGATCGAACGACACTCGCGCATATCTTTCATCTGCTTTGGGTCGATTGAATAATTCCAGATGTTCAGCAGCGCCATTTTTCCGTGAAAACTTTCATCAGCGTTGAAACCCCCGCCCAATAGATCCTGTTCCTGACCCACAATAAATATCCCGTTAAGGGGCATTTTCCCGTGCGCGGTGTCGATTTTAGCATCCAGAATCTTCATGCCATCCCTAAGGACTGTAAAGTTGTCTCCTCGAGCTAGATGGCAATAGAAAGACCAAGAGTCCAGACGCAAGAATTCTGGATCTTTAGGATTATCGAAGTACCGTAGACCGTGGTAGTACGATATGTATTCCTTGTCTGTAATCACTGTCGAGAGAAAAATGTACCAATTAGAGGGTAATGGCTTTAAAGGGATGTAAGTGATTTTACCAATTAACCACAAATTTGGTGGTAAGCGGAGGGTCCCTCATAATGCATGCGAATTTGTAGACGCATTCAACAAAAGTGTTGAACTGACAAAATTCATCTGGCAAAACCTTTTTTACTGACAAAACCTCTTTATCGGGCAAAACCTGTTTATCGGGCAAAACCTGTTTATCGGGCAAAACCTTTTCATCTAACAAAACCTTTTTTTTACTGACAAAACCTCTTTGTCTGGCAAAACGTTTATGCCCTAAGCACTGCACAATTTCTTTAGAAAATGGTTGTTCCCTATAAAAACTTGCACTAGAGCACCTAGGTACGTTATGTAATGTAGTGAATTGCTCACTAAATACGACATCGGATGTGATAAAGGCTGATTTCCTCCTAAAGGCTGTGTAAATATTTTTTAAGGATGCAAATTTTTTATAGGGATTTCATAATGCTGTGGTCGTTTCACTAAGAATTCAAAGCAATACATAATTATATTTTATTTTATTCTATCGTAATGAATACTGTGGTTGCAAAAATTTTGGAAAAACAAATCGATGGTATAGTAGCGTTGTACACAAAACGATTCATAATTGAGCAACGTTCACAAATTGATTATACTCACGGAAGGTAAAGACGTTGTGATTCTCATTTGAGGTTGCGTAGGAGAAATGAGTAACGTAGGATGTCAGCCGCGTGGTTGAGGCCCAGTAGCAAATAGAAATATCGTCGGCTGAAGCTCCATTGCCCTGTCATAACGTTTATCTAATTAATAAACAAGAGAAGTTTCCACGATTATTATTAATTGATAAATTTGATGGACCTATTTTGCGTGCAAAATAGGTCCGGTATAATCGGGTAGCTCATTAATTACGATACGCTTACGATACGCATTAATTACGATCAGCTTACGTTTGTAAGCTGATGGAATCTGTTGTGAGGGATAGGATTATCGATCACTTGACTGCTCACCATCTCATATCAGATTGTCAACATGGTTTTATTGCCGGCAGATCCTGCACCACTAACTTATTATCTACGTTGAACGATTGGACTCGCCTGCTGGACGAAAGAGAGCCAGTGGATGCATTGTACCTCGATTTTGCCAAAGCATTTGACAGTGTTCCGCATGAGCGGCTGTTGCGTAAAGTAAAGTCCTTAGGGATTGAGGGAAACGTACTCCAATGGATCAGAGATTTTCTAGTAGGTAGACGACAACGTGTCAGTATTAACGGAACCGTGTCAGACTGGGCATCAGTGCGCAGTGGCGTGCCACAAGGAAGCGTCCTGGGGCCTATTTTGTTCGTTGCTTTTATAAATGATCTGCCAGAAGTAGTATCCAGCGTGTGCTCCATGTACGCCGACGACACAAAAGTTTATAATACAGTGAAGAATGCGTCAAAACTCCTTATCAAACCCGGTGGAAGTCTAGTAGCTTCTTCAAACTATCGCCAGTCATGAAAAGATCCGGTCAAATGACACGAGTTTAGATCTATGAACAAGGCACGAAACGGAAAAGAATCGGCGACAGGCCACATCAGGCCTACACTTCAGAGCCGACATCACTATGTTATGTTATGTTATAAACGTTATTTCTGAATATTTTTAATGGTATCTGGAGGTCATTCTCTATAATTAATTTCCTCTAGACTTCATGGCAGATCTATTTTTGACATTTTTCGCTTCAAAGAAATGTTGAAAATCTTTTCTTCACATTGGTCTCTAAAAATTTCAGTTGCCGAACCCAGAACTACAAGATTCTTTACTTGCGCCCTCCACCTACCGCTAGGACTGAGAGGTTGAAGCGAATGTAAGACTCTACGCTGCCTGCTTTCCAGACATTCTCTTGGAAACTTAAAACCCTCACGTGGTCTTGCTGAGCGTGCAAATCTGAAACTGGATTCAACATGTAATTAATTATTCTGAGCGAGAAAGGCCCTTTAAAAAGGGATTCAAAACAGGACGCTTAAAATTTTTAATTTCAAACTCATCGATGTAACTAAGAAGTTTCAGCATGCAGTTTGCATCAAATAGATATAATTTTTTTTTGCAAGTAATCTATCAGAAAAAACGCACGTAAAAAGCATACTTGGTAAATTTTCAATAGTTCCATGCATTATCGTATCAGGAGATAAATCAAAGTGCACATTATTTACAGAGTTGTCAGTATTCATTTATGGGAATGAGCGTTCATTTTTAATTTTAATAAACATGATCATTTTTTGTTTGTGCTCAAATAATCTTCTCGAGCTAAGTAACTTTTATTCCAAGACACTTGTTAAATTCTTACTTGAGAGTAGAAACGTGAAACACAAAGCCGTGAAGATATGACAAATCATTCTACTGTTGATTTTGCCAAATAGAAACCAAGCATTTATCCAGCTTTTTATTGTGAGTGAAGTTTTCAAAGAGGTCAAGAACTGTTATGTTTTATTTTATTCGACCGTTACTCTTTAATGGCGTTGCTTCAAAGCTTTTTAGGAAGATCGCCAAAAAGTTCACCTTCGGCCGTCCGATATGCAAGTCGTTTGACCGGTTATGGTAATTACGCTAAAAGAATTGCGATTATTTCGATAAGTTTAACTCTTTAAGTTAGCGGTCGACAATTATACCAAAAATAACTTTAGAATAAAGAAGAAGCTAGTTTTCGTAGATCTGATCGGACCTTACGCTAAAATAGTGAAAATAAGTATTGTGTGCGAGCCAAAAGCTGTTCCGCCACCATCTACTCAACTGAACGGGCGCTGTCCTAAATATGCGTTCCTTTTTAAAGTACCACACTACATTGACTTATTCTTAAACATTAAAAAAGTAAAAGTTAATTTCCTCATGGTTTAGAAAACATGACTAATGATCTCACATTGTCAGCTTGATTATGGACTATCGGATGCCGACTCCAGGAACAAGGTTTGGAGCGACGATCAATGGGCAGCTTTGTCCGAGTTCAGGGAGTATCCATCATCCTGTGACGAATACACGACATCTGACCCTAGTAATGGACTTCGTTTGGACCCGCCTTGCATATTATTGGATTACTCTTCGAATACCATATTTTTCATGTATAGAATAACGAAAGGGTTCCATTCTAGCAGCTATTGTTCGGGAACTTATTTTACATATCTGAAGCGGCGTGTAATGATTGCATCAATAATGAAAATAAGTCGATCTATTTATTTTAATGAACGCTCAGAGCACCGAATTCCGGTTCGAAATAAATAAAATAACTTGTGAATGACAGCGAGTCGAGAGAGTTAAGCAACATGAATAAAAGTTATGTTAAGGATTAATTAAAAGTACGGTGAAACAATTTATTTATAACTGCAATTATTAACTGATCAATTTAAACTCGACAAATTTTACACTCGAACGTCTTCAGTTTAACTAATGTATTTATAATTGAACTGCTTGAATTGAATTTATAACTGAAATGCTTGAATTGAGGCAATGTATTTATAAATCTATGACGTTCCAAGCTTTCTACAGAAATCAGACGTACACAGGGGAGTTTCGTGCTCCCTGATTCTAAGCGCACGACAGTATGTGTACCAGTCATGACTGGTCCCGTCTATACTGACATGACGACACACCCACAGATATTCATACCACAGCTTTATGAATAAAGATTTTGTGCTATGAATATTTTAAAAGCTACTGTTGCTTGCTGTTTCTTGTGATCCAAACGACTGGGTCAAATGTGCGACATTAGTGGCGTCTGGAATGCCTGATACATTAATCGTAGACTCATCGGGACATCCGCAGTGCTTGATAAATGAATAACAATGTTCGATAAATGAGTTGAAAGATTGATCGCGAATACCTTTGTGTTGGATAAATTAATCGAGTTATCGAGTTGTATTCACTTTTCGATAAATAAAGCAACTAATTAGGGCGTCAATGGTGTCTAATAAATGCATTGAAATATTTATTAGGATGTTTTTAGAGTCTTATAACGAATCGAATGATTGATCGGGTTATTTTTGGTGTTTGATAAATGCATCGTAAGACTGATCAGGATTCTCAGCTGCATACTTCTTGAGATACCAGCACGATAGTTGCATCTGCTTCTGCTGCGATGCGAAGTATCCTAGAGCTTCCTGCAAAGAATATCAACACTTAAGGCGACAATTCAGTATTCATAACTAATCACTAACGTCTATAATAAATATTAAGGCAGCTCTGATTGAAGCTAATGAGAAAGGTTTTAATGCGAGAGTTCATGAGTCTACGTATAAGTGCATTATCAACTACAATGATGATTTTTACAGATTAATTATATTAAGGCTCCATTTCGAAAGTGATGAAGCCACCATTAAATGAAATGATTTTATGTATTAAAGCTGTAATAGCAGAACGAAACTGAAAATAATAAAAAACGTCATCATTTATATAAAAGCCTTTACTTCTACTTGACTTATTACTTGACATAAGGGCAAGTTACTTCACTCAGTAGAAGAGTATCGCACCCGGGCAGAAGTAACATTTCCTCGGGATTTAATGTATTTAACCTGAACTACAGCTAATGTGCTCGAAATAAAATCAAACGCTGTTAGTGGGATATATAAACACGGAAGTTGCTTCAAAAATGTAAAGTTCTCTATGTTCACTCTCTGATCAGAGTTCATGAACACCAAGGTAAAACGCACGAATCAAAGCAGCCGTTCCCGGCAGTGAACATCACCTTGGCGAGAATTTTGGCCAGTCCTTTACCACGCTGCGACTCCGGGACCACCGTGTGCTGCAAGTCTACGGAGTCTTCACTCATGTTTTCATAGGTCAGGACCGCCCTGTCTGTCGAATAATATCAGTTGTTCGGCAACTACAGAACGCGGACAACTAAAATATGCGATATATTTTATTACCGTCAGTATTGTGCATCTCAATGTTAATTTTTATTAAGAATTATTCAATGTCATTGAAGTAAATTCAACAGTGTACATGATTCACAAACTTAAGACACGCGCCTGTGTGTAAGAAAAAAAAATCTACAACCATTCAAGTTTTTCAATTCATGAAAGAAATGGGCTGAAAAGAACAAACAACTGAAATTTTCTATACATTGTCACACGGAATATTACGAATACTCTGAGAATAACTTGAATAGCATACATGGAGAACATAGATAACGCAGATGATAGAGGGATACTGGGAATAGAAATTTGCCTAGTATATGAACAGTCTGCGTGTGGCAACTGCTGAAAAAACAGCTAAATTACAACATGTGTGTCTACTGGGAGTATCATTATGAAAGAACCCAACATTAAAACTAACGTAATCTCACCTCCAGTTTCGCAGGAAATGAAGAATTCTTTGCCCTGTTTGTCATGTTGCACTCTGATCTGCTGATCGCTCTGCATGCTGAGGGAGAAGCGAAGTCTCTGTAGGCGATGAACGGTTGACGTTCTAGCAGCGCCTAACATCTACGATATAATGTCTAGCTGCGAAATGGTGCACTTAGCTATAATTTGGACGTTCCTGATTTCAATCCTAATTACCGGAAACAGAAGATTTAGAAGCGAAATTATTATTTCGAAAAAAGTGGATGAAAAAACTGTTGAGAAACCGTGACACAATCAGTAAGATGCCATAACAATACCTAGTTCTTAAATTGATTGTCATGGCCTCCCAAGAGGCAGTAAACTTTTTTTCTGCGAGTCATGGATGTCCAACTGCACGAACCACATAGATATTAACGGTTTTGACCTCAACATTTATTCAATTTACTAAATAAAGTCACCGAGCGGCTCATAACTAGCCAAATGTCAAAGAAAGTATATGAAACTTCAGTTTTTCTCAAATTTGGCACCCCATCTGTTATAAACAATGGCATGCTAGTGCTATAATGCACAAGGTGCAAAAAGATTTACATAACTATTGTTCTGTTTCAGCAAGAAAATCGCTTCAATGAATCATACACGTTTTCCGTTCTTATTTCAAATCAAAGATGCCACAAACACAGCTGGTGAGATGTTTGTCATGCCTTATTTAATACAGGCTCTCTGCTTTGTCCCACATACATCTCTGCACCCAAAGCACCAGTAACCATGATGTCCCTCTGTGCATCATCTTGGTCATATCCAATTAGTTTTAACATAAAAAGTTTCTTTTGTATGAGCATGTATGTACAGTCGGGTCAAAAACTCGGCAACAGTTCTACTGCCGCAGCTATTATGGGTCCATGTATGCACCAAGTCATCATGGGGCATCAAAATGCCTATTCAGTCATCAGAACTGAATAGGCAGTATCAGTTTTTGTCTTGAAAGAGGAGCTACACAAGCATTTGAGCCGGACTTGGAAACAAGTTGCTCAGTCTCAGGAAAGAACTTTTTTGAGTGACCTCATGATAGGAACAAAACTTTGGCTTGGCCAAAAGTCACACAGGGAGAAAGCTAGAGTGTTCAGCTAGTGCTACCACAAGTACAGAATTGGTCATGCTAGCATAAAGAGCCATCCATTCAGGTTCAAAATTAGAGAAGCTGAATTAACGATCAATGTATTAATATACATTGATCATTGATGCACCTGCAACACATAAAACCAAGTTGCCCGATTTCTGCGGGGCTGTAAACCTCCTGCACTTGTACTGCCATTGAGGCATTGGCCAAGCCAAGACAGAAATTAAAAATTAATTAATGAAACACTAATGTACTCTATATGATCATTTGGAGAGAGGTAATTACGTATATTATAATGATAATGTGCACCAGAAAATCATTTGCTTTTTAATTTTAAATTACAGAAGGTAGGGGTTGACAGGTCAGTTAGGTGAACTTTGTTGTTGTTGTTTGTTGCGACCGTTGTTGTTGTTTATTGCGTCCGTCACGCTCGCCGGGGGGAGGCTCAGGTGGTGGCCGGGGGAAGGCACCGAAAGAGGGGGGAGATGGGAGAAGGCAGGTAGGGTAGCCAGGAATGCCGCTGCCTCCACGGGGTTGTCCCACAGTGAGGAGACGCTGAGGGACGTGGGGAAGGCGGGGCAGGCGAAGAGGTGCTGGACGGACTGGAGGGGATCCCCGCACTCCGGGCAGACGGAGCAATGGGAGCGTCCGATCCTGGCGGAGTAGGACGCCAGGGAACTGCAGTATCCCGAGCGAGGCTGGGATAGCGCTGACAGGTAGGGGCGAGGGAGTGAGGCCTCCACTGATGCAATCGGTGGTGGCGGCGAGAACGGCGTTTATAGCGTCTGTCGCCGCAACGCGGGAGGCGATCTCCCTGCGGAGACACCACTTGGCCTCTCCGTAGGCACCGGCGGACAAGATACCACTAGCCAAGAATGGTGTGACAAGGTGGCCGAAGCTCGACTGGATGAAGGCTTTCATGGGGCGGTCCCCGAGGAGAGCAGAAACGATGAGGAATGAGGAATGGGAGGGCTGGAGGGCGCTGGCGAGGAACTGGGCACAAGCCAGGTCCAGGTGAGCGGGCAATGGGAGGACGCCGGTCTCCTGGTGAAGATGGGCGATCGGGGCCATTTTGAGGCAGCCGGTGGCTAGTCTCAATGCAGTGTTTTGTATTGTTTGCAGGCTGGCAATTGCTGTTCGTGAGGCAACAAGGTAGCAGATGGGCGCCGCGTAGTTGAGGATTGGACGCGTAATGGTTCGGTAGGTGGCAATAATGTCCTCCTTGGAGAAGCCCCAGTTGGTAACAGCAAGGGCTTTTAGGATGCGAAGAGAGCCCGTCACTTTCGTGCCTATGCTTTTACATGAAGGGAGAACGTGAAGTGCGTATCCCAGGTGACGCCTAGGATTTTGGGGGTTTATCCAGGGGGATGATGCCGTTGCAGATTGTGGCAGCAGGGTGGGACCGAGATTGGTGAGTGTCTAGGGTGAAAAGCGTGACCGAGGACTTGCCAGGTGCCACGGCCAGTTTCTTGGCAGCCGACCAGTCCGAGACACCCCAGAGGAGCCCGGCGAGGTCAGCCTCCGCAGCGTCGAGCCTCGGGGACGACACGAAGATGGCGAGGTCGTCCGCGTACGAGGCAATGTTGGGGACCAGCTCTGGGATATCAGAGATGAAGTGGTTAAAGAGGGCCGGCGAGATGACCGAACCTTGAGGAACTCCTGATTGTATTGCTTTTGAAAGGAGATTGAGTTCTGAGGTAGAGGCAGGATGCCTGCCTGCCTCTGAGGTAGCAGCACAGCCATCGGACCAGGTTGTGATGTAGGTCCGAGGCCGCGATAATGCTTAGGAGAAGAGAATGGTCGGTCGACACTGTCGAAAGCCTTCGACAGGTCGACCGCAGCAGCGACTGTGCAGGCTGGAGGACGCCGTGAGTTCCAACCCGTCGCGATCTGGCGCGCGTGCGGGAGGATGGCGGTGACTGTGGAGTGTCCCGGTTTGAAGCCATGTTGCGAGGGGACGGTGGTGAGAGATCCTTATAAGATGTATGGGAGCACAAGACGCTCTAGGACCTTGGCTGCAGGGCAGAGGAGGGAGATAAAGCGGTACCTATGATGAACCCTGGTTTCCAGGTTTGCCCGGTTTCAGGATTGGAATAATTATTGAATTTTTCCAAATGGATGGGATAGGAGCCGTGGAGACGGATATATTAAAAATAAGAGTAAGGAACTGGATGCCACATGGGCCAAGGTGCCTGAGGTGGAGGACCGTGAGGCCGTGTGAACCCCGAGCAGATGGGTTGTTGGCGCCTGCGATGGCGAGCTTCACCATGTCGGGGGTGAAGGGGGAGAAGTCCCTGTCGAGAGGATGCTCAGCCCGGATTCGACGTATAAGGCGGCGGGTGGAAGGGCTTTGAGTGTGAGGAGCGATCGAAGTGAAGAGTTTGCAGAAGGCGGAGGAAATCTTGCGCTGGGAGGAGAGGGAATTCAGACCAAATTGAATTGGCTGATTAGGGGGCGGGCGGTTGCGATTTCCGGCTAGGGAGCGAAGGAGATTCCAGTGCTTTGACTGGTTCGTGCGTCTGCTACACGACGCGAGATGCGTTCGCCAGGTGTACCTGGCATGAGCCTGTATGGAAATACAAATTTCCAGGTTGAGTTCTGTGAGCCGGAGGTCGGTTCGGTTGCGCGCCCTGATGTCATCCCGTTGCTCGAAGAGCAACCGGGTGCCAGGGTTGACTGAGGGGGAGAAGTCTTCCCGGAAGCCGGCAGGGATGTGCTGCCTGGCAGCAGCCGCCAGGACTCCTCTTAGGGTCGACTCGCCGCCACACGAAGTGGGGGAGTGACCGTCTCAAGTGATGCATCGATGGCTGCCGTGTAGGCTGCCACCCAGCTTCCTTAACCCATTAATGCCGAGCGGTTCCATTTGGAACCAGCGGGAAAAATGGATTCATAATAAAATTGTATGGTCAAATCAATATACTAGTGGATGCGTAGGTTTGATACACATCTTGGACGTGTTCTGGTAACGTTTGGTTCTGCTGCGCCGACTACTCCCTGCTCAGTTAACATTAAAAGATTGTAAGTACCGGGTGTCAGACAGAAGGGCTTGACATCATTGCAGAGAAAGGTAAGTAGTTCGTTCTAAGAATATATTATTTATAAGTTAGATACAGAATTTTATCGATAAAGAGAGTACTTTTAATTCTGTATATGGTATTACGTGATATAATTTTTCTAAAGTCTTTTAGATCATGAAATATCTTGTCTGGTTCCAAATGGAACCGCTCGGCAGTAGTGTAAGCATTCCGGTCATCTCACTTTACCAGTAGATTTTTTTGTGATATAGTTACGCATTGTATTTCAAAAACTTGTTTGTACTTAGAAATTATTTATTTAGATCTTAGATCAACAGTTTTTCTGTTATTTATTAGTGAACTATTATCTTTAGAGCTGTTAGGAATATATATCCCAAAAGTTTAAATATTTGGAAGTAGGTACATTGAACACTATACGATTGTTCATCCCGAGTCACTTTTTTTCTAATTGTATTTTGGCAGATCATCACATGAAATAATTGAGATGAATGGAGCAGAGAGAGATGAATGGAGCACAGGCCGGAGCAACGTTTGTGGGTCCAGGCGTTGCATCAGGAGCACAGAAACAAGTATCCTTGCCAGGTAACTCGCAGGGAGCAGACTGAGCAGAGGTAGGTAAACGCCAGGGTTGGGATGGATACTGGGGCCAGGGTTGGGTCAGGAGGAGAAGGACGAGCAGGAAGACAAGGTGAGAAGAGAGAATGGCATAAGGTGTCCCGAGAAAGATATGCGGCCAAAAATGTGGGTAGGAGGTAGGGGAGGCCAATGTTTCCCAACCCTTGAGCAAAAAGAATGACAAAAAGAGCAGCTGTCTGGTGGCAATCCGGGCAGGGGGGCCTTTGCCGTTTGGCCTAACCCGCGAGAATGCCGGGCATCCGGTCAATGCCCAGGCCAGGGTACCCCCACAATGTAGACGCAGCACAAATCGAGGGCCCCAGATCTTACCTGGTGGTGAGATCTGGGGCCCCCAATCAATACGGTAGTTAGTTAGTTAGTTCAGTGGCCGTAGTTGCTAGCTCTTCAGGTCGAGCTATCTCACGCCGAAAGTCACATCGGACATTACTGGCTAGGGGTAGATAACATCACTTGTATTTGGTGTTGTGCGGATCATATGTAATT